TGAACCGCGCACAGAGGGACGCTAACCTGATCGGACAGCTCTTTCCGAGATGACACGCAAGAGAGCCAGGTCCTGGGCCCACGAGTTTTTAGCCAAAATAAACAGCCCTCAGAGGAGCTTAAAACACAGGGCGTGCGATTCGACGGCTTGAGCCCTGAGAAGTAAAGCTCCTCACCCTCCCGGCCCCGACGACAAGGCGCGCTGGGAGCACCCCGGGGGGACAGGCTCCCTCGCGATGCTTCGTTCGGGCCCCGGGCGAAGCAGCAGTGCCGACGCAGAGCTTCTGGCGCTCAGATACGGCGGAAGGGCGTCACGTTACCTCAGAGGTTCGTTCGCTGTCAAAGCCCTTCAGCAAAGTAACGAACGTTTCCATCGTGACGTAAGAGAGAAGACTGCTAAGGGAACACGCCAACAGCTTTTTGGAGAAGAGGGAACGCGTTAGTCCAGTCTCTGGACAGGCAAGAGTGCAAGCGTCAAAAACAGGAAAATTTCATCTTAGGTGGAAGAAAAGATGAAGGCCCGAGCAGCTAAGAGGTCCAAACCTGACACATACTTTGAGCAAAGCAGAGCTCTTTTCCTGAGAGGACAGAATTTTGTTCAAAAAAGTTTGAGAGGCCCTATTCAAAAATCATTAAGCACCTTCTCGGGAAAGGGTGAGGTAATTCCCACAACGACAACACTTCCAAACCAGTTATATCCCCAATTAGCACACTTTCTGTTTTCCTAAAACTCTTCCCTCGCTGCGAGCAGAAAACACCAGCTGCGAAGCAAAGCCCTGCCGCTGGCCCGCCGGCCCTTCGGTTGCCATGGAAACCACAGAAACAGGACGAGCGCCGAGCCTCATGTTTAAGGTCAGCTACAAAAACGCACAGACGAGTCCCCGCTGAGAAACGCGGTCGAGATTCGCCTGTCTAAAGAACAACTGCCAAAAGAACAAGGTCAACAGCAACAACCAACTGGAGCAAAAATCCCAAATATCTGCCAAAAGGGATACAGATGAGAACGTGATCTAGGGGGCTCTTCAGAAGTAATAAGGTTAGACAACGGCATTTACTTCTCTGCATCAGCGGGGCAGCGGGAATAAGGCAGTTAATAGATTTTGGTGGGAGAGAAATGAAAACGTTGGGCTAATAAGTGTGCTTTCGTACATAACAGGAATATAACGAGTGGGACTCACACGGACATCCGTTTTATCTTAATCAATCTGCCTCCTATTTAAATATTTAGGCAGGAGATTTAAGAAAAGCTGAAGGAAAAGAGACCATCTACGGTCTTGAAAGAACATACCAGGTCAAAACAGGAACAACGGTCTAACAATAGATGGCAAAACTTTAGTTTTAATAGTTATTGTTGTTATCTCCTTAAGTACAGTGGTGACACAATTCTTCAGAGATTCGGTGCAGAATTACATTCCTCTGAGAAAACCTCCATAGGGACATGCCGCTTTCCATACACCATTCTTTATTGTTTATAGCCAAACAAATGTGTTTCCCTTTTGGAAAGTATCACTGGACAAAGAATAACCCCAAAGTAGGAGGCTTCTACCGGGAAAGATATAACAAGCCTTTTTCTAAATAAGAGCTTTCCCCACAATTAAAGAAACTGGCGTATGATGAGGTCTTTTCAAGTCTCAATTATTATTTAAAAAAAAAAAGCAATGGTAAACAGCACAATTTTGACACTTCCTTTATCTTTCATCTGTAGAACCCCAAGTGTAAGCACTAGACAAAAAAAAAACAAAAAAAAAAAAGGGTTTTATTTTAGCTTTTAGCACGCTGCTCCCCAAATCACCAAGTCCCTAAATGACTTGACACCGTTCCACACCACAGGCACTCGAGTTAAAAGACCAGTGAGCCCTAAAGTTTGAGATTAAGAGGGAGCTGTAGATTTTGCAGATATTTGTAAATACAGCTTTTGCTTTTCCTCATCTACAGGGGAATGTATAGGCCTTCCTGCTGTAAGCCAACGCTACTAAAACCCAGCCATTCTCTTCAGATAAACGTGGTGTACCAATGCTTTCAAAAACAATTCACCTCATTAATGCAGGAATTTAAAAAAAAAAAAAAACTGTT